TGTTAAACAATAATCTATTTGTAAATTGCTACGAATTTCAACAAGAATTAACATATACTGTAACAGGGATCAACAAGGATTAACATAACAAGTGTTAAACAATAATCTATTTGTAAATTGCTACGAATTTCAACAAGAATTAACATATACTGTAACAGGGATCAACAAGGATTAACATAACAAGTGTTAAACAATAGCTCTTCTATACTTGAATGTTATCTCCTTGGGAGCGCTCATGCCCCCTGTCTTTGCATCCCTTCTGGAAGGGTCTTCGTTCCTCCGTAGGTATCTATCCTTCCATACCCGAAGGTCATCTTCGTTGTAGTATCCGCTTCGATCTGTTGTCTTTGGTGCGTCACCTTCCTGGCCGGCGTCTTTCACTCTGTGACTCTGGTCACGAGTTTCTGTGTTGCGATCGTCCCTTCAATGTCGAGATCGATAGGTCTCCCACTCCCAGTAGGAGCATTGTCTCTAATCTGATCCTTCTATCCGTCATTGGCCATCTATTCTTCTTTCTTTTCCACAGACGGCGCCAAATTGTGTGGGTGATTTTCCAACCACACTGCCCGCTTAGTAACCAGCTGGAGAGCACTGGCAGAATAGATGGCACCTGACTGACCTGCAACAGAAATATAAGAATCCTGCGGTGGTTTCGACCACCCGGGGGCACTCCGATGATCAAGTCAGTATATCTCTCAAAGATAATCAAGTACTAAACTCAAAAGCTTGAGTATCAAAAGCATACCTTAGACCTATGAGGGTGCCTCTCTTTTATAGCCAACACAATCCTAGTCCCAAAAGGAGCCTGGCCCTAATGGACTTAGGATTACTCCTAATCTAGGACTCCCAGTGAGATTAGGATAAATTCTCTAAGAGTCTTATCTTAATACAAACTGAAGTCTTCTCTCATTCTAGGACTCTTGTCCCTTATCCACTTACCTCAGATTTCGATATCTTTGGAGATAACCTCGGCCTTGCCGAGATTACCTCGGCGTCATGACCAGGACACGTGGCACCTCGGCTGACACGTCGGCATCACCTTGCCACGTGTTGGTACTCAAAAAATATATCCCCACAAATAAGTAATCACAATATATGTTTCTAGAATCTCACGTTATACAAGATGACCTGCCGGCCCTTCCATACTGACAGTTACAAAAATGCAGGATACGTGTGCTTTGTGCTTTCAAGGTTATTAAACCAAACCAATAGAGACAACAGACAAATGGAAAATACTCTCAGTAGTAGCAGTAATGTGTCATCATGTCCAGCCAGCCAGCTAGCTAGGTATTTGCCATATATCCATAGCTGCTGCTGCTACCTATCACTCACAGTTTGGCAAACCCTGACGCCAGTCCGTTACTAGGAGGATGACAGCACTATGAGCAAGCACTCCTGCCATAACAAAAACATGGAAAATCTGATGGCTGTGCCCTGCAATATCAAATGCACCAGGCTTCCATCGTTCTGGTATACTACTCACAGAAACTCGCTTCTACAGCGTATAAAACACACATGACAAGCTCATATCCGAGGACCAGAAGCATCTGTGGGTGGCCCCAAAAGAGAACCACGACATGTGCTGCTGGAATCACCCCTGAGAAGCCCATGGCCAAAAAGAGGGAGACCCTGAAGGATCGGAAGCGGGGAGTGGACAGAGCAGGTGCAAAGAGGGTGATAATGACAAGGATACCAAGTAATGAAATGGAGGTCAGATAAAGGAATCGTGAATATGGATTGTAGGAGAAAGCATAGTAGATGGGAGCAAAGAAGGAGCAGACTATCATTAAGGAGATACCAGCATAGTCTAGGCGCCAAAAAAACACATTCCAGCGTTTGGAATGGCAAGCAAAGAGGTGGGAGTGGGAGCTGCAAATTAAACAGCCCATAGCCCTAGCTAGAAATACAATCCAAGGCCATCTAGGAATTGCCTTATTAGAAGCATCATCCATATCTAACGCCGCCGCTGCTGATGATGCACGCGTGATGTATCCTAGATCTGAATCCTGCTAGGCAAACCATGTTTCAGAATGACTTTAGTAGTTCAATATTCATCTTATAAGTAGAGTACATTATACAAATGAAATTCAAAACTCTCTTCTCTAGTTGGGTATCTTCTTCTAGTCTAGTACATAGACATAGTTCACCTAGTTTTGCACGTTTTATATTTCCTTCCAAAATATTAATGACAATTAATGAAAAACTATATTAACACCAAATTGAAAACGTGAAAGAAATGAATAAATTATATCAATAATCTCAATAACTTCTTAGGAATCCTAGTTTAGTTCTTCTAATTTTGTACGTTTTATATTTCCTTTTAAAGTATTAATGACAATTGTTGAAAAACCACATTAAAACCAAATTGAAAACGTGAGGAAAATGAATAAATTATATCAATAATGCCAATAATTTCTTTTGAATTCTAGTTTGGTTCTTTTAATTTTGCACGTTTTATATTTCCTTCCAAAATATTAATGACAATTATTGAAAAACCATATTAACACCAAATTGAAAACATGAGAGAAATGAATAAATTATATCAATAATCTCAATAACTTCTTAGGAATCCTAGTTTAGTTCTAATTTCGCACGTTTTATATTTCCTTTCAAAATATTAATGATAATTGTTGAAAAACCATATTAACACCAAATTGAAAACGCGAGAGAAATGAATAAATTATATCAATAATCTCAATAACTTCTTAATCTCTCATTTTTCAGATTCTTATTTCTCGGCGGTTCGGATTGATCTCCTCCACCAACCACTTTAGAAGTTACTCTCTTCCTACCATTTCGGTGAGGAATTTCATGTTTTTTTCTTTGTTATGTGCTTCGTTTGTAGTAGAAAATAATGTCTCATACTTCTTAACTCTATCTCTCATTTTGCAGATTCTCATCTCTCAGCGGTTCGAATCGATCTCCTCCACCAACCGCTTCAGAAACGGTTCCCTTGCTATCATTTTGGTGAGGGATTTAATATTTTTTTAATTGTTACGACAAAATGTCACATCAAACCCATAATCATTTCATTTTTTTTCTCACAAACATCACATCTAATTATAAAAAAATCCAACTATCTTTCCAAACACAAAAATTTTAGACTCCTAAAATAGTCAAAAACTAAAATAGCAACTTTCCAAACACCCACATATTCAACACGTAATACACAGAAGAAAAAAAAAAGATTGACTCAAGAGATGGTTTGGTGTTCAAAACTAGAGAGACATATTTTGGTACCATATATTCAACGCATAATATCGTATTCCGCAACAGTAAAAAAACACAGCTCTCTCTCTCTCTCTCCATTGTCAACAGTTTGCTTTGCATATAATTGTGGTTTGTATTTATATATAACATTATTATTTTGGAAGTTTATTATAATTTTATGATTTGCATGATTTTCATTGTCATAAATAATTAAAAAAACAAAATAAACATTTTATGCATTAAAATTAACAAACATGTTTTTGAGTTTTTGTTTTTAAAATTTTTAAAATATTTTGTTTTATTTTTTCAAAAATAAACAAAAACTAGTTTACAATTTTTTCATAAACATAAACAAAAAAAACGTAAACATTACTGAACGGTATCTAAACATTAATATTCAAAAAAAAATGTCCAACAAAAAAAAAATTGCAGTTGACTGGTTGACCGGGTGGACGACCGATAACACCCTAAGCCGAACGAACTATTTTCTAAGACCACTTCCTCACCTAGACTAATAATACCCTCGCTAAGGCCTATCGTAGTCCAAAGGAGACTACGAATCCGAAAAAACTAGTTTACAATTTTTTCATAAACATAAACAAAAAAAACGTAAACATTACTGAACGGTATCTAAACATTAATATTCAAAAAAAAATGTCCAACAAAAAAAAAATTGCAGTTGACTGGTTGACCGGGTGGACGACCGATAACACCCTAAGCCGAACGGACTATTTTCTAAGACCACTTCCTCACCTAGACTAATAATACCCTCGCTAAGGCCTATTGTAGTCCAAAGGAGACTACGAATCCGAAACTCCAAAACCAAAACAAACATGAGACATTTCACTGTTCATCATTTACAGTTCGAAATAGACTGTGAAATGAACTGTGATAGAGGAAAACAAATGGGCCTTAAATCAATTTAGTGGTCTTATATTTGTGAGTGTCACTATTCAATCCATCAACTCAACCCACTCTGATTTGCACGTAATGCTAAATCACATTGAGTCGGATTCAAAAGAGAATGCGGACTGTTTATCCATTTTTCATGTTTTGTCACTAAGCGAAAGGTTAGGCAGTTGAGTTGATAGAATGGCGACCTCTTTAAGTTGTAATTTAATTTTATTGATAAATTAATATTTGATAATCTTGAGGAAAAAAAATTAATATTTATTGATTTATGCCCAAACATTGCCATATATTTTCCCATTTCATGTCTTATTGTGTGGAGGGAGGGAGGGAAGAAAACTCACCGGGAAAAAAGAATCTAAGCCGTTGGCGTCTGTCATGTTGGCATCCACCTTCGTTGTCATCACTATCATCATCATCATCATCCACGATGTTTGAAGCATAGGTTTGATGTATGTCCCAACACAAGCTTAAGAAATGATTTTTCAATGGACGAAAAAGAACATTAAAAAATTACGATACCTGAAGAAACTCACGATCAAGCTTTCGATATTGGTCTTCTCCAACGAGCTCAACACGGTCAACGCAACAAACCCTCCAAGTGCCTGCGAAAAATCAAAGTCAAATTCAAACTCAAACTCAAAAAGAAACGGATTTCAATTTCGATTTACGATTCATTCATGAGATTGAGTCGATTCGATTCGAACAACAACGAATGACACACGTCCAGATGTTTAGGGTTTCATTGTGCTAAGCGAAGACGCTGAACAACGTCTCCTTCAATGGCCATTTACATCGATAATAGTCCAATATGAACTCGTTGTCCTTCAAGTACTCAGGCAAGCTCTTGTACTTCACCATTCACCTCTCGAATCCCTACTTCATGTTTTGGCCCGAGTCAACTCGGCAGCTCTCTCCTCTTTGCCATTACCACCGAGCTTTGAGCTGTTCCCGCCTCTCCGTTTCATCTTCACTGGAAAATCCCCTGACGTTTCTCTGTTTCCGGCGAGCTATTCGCCAGAAATATCTCTCTTTTCTGACTCCTCTCTTTCTCTCTCTCTCTCTCTCTCGCGCGCACGCGCGCGCTTGCTTCCCTCCTTTTATTGTAAAATCTATAAATATGTAATTATTACTATTTGTGCATATTTAGTAGTAGATAATATATGTATATATGTGTGTATATATGTCAAGCTGGTGCCGAGATTAGAGCTTCAGAGAATTTATAGCTAGCGAGGAACATGTGATCGAATTAAATAGAAAATGATTTTTTCTTTTTCTTTAAAATAATAATAATTAAAAAAAAAGAAAAGCAATTACTAGTAGAAATAAATAATAAGGAAGGTGAAAAAGGATGAATGGCCATGTGTCAGAATTCGGTTGATTTGATTGTGGAACAAAAGTCAATAAGTGAATGTATGCGATGCGTCGTTGGAACAAAAGTCAATAAGTGAATGTATGCGATGCGTCGTTTTTGGTTTTCTAAAAATATTTTTTAGAAAATTTTATTTTATTATTTTTCATATATTTTTATTTTTACTAATTTTTTTTAATATTTTAAGTAATTTTTTTAATTTTTAGACACATTTAACATAAATACATATAAAAGTATAATTTTTGTGAAAAAAAAAATCTTTTAAAAATTCACTAAATACCAAAAATGCAAAAACAATACGAGAATTCAATATATATATTTTCATATTTTTATGTATTTATTAATTTTTAAAAATACTTTTTCACGAATTTTTTACTTTTTAGATACATCTAAGTAAGATGCATCTAAAAAAGTAAAAAAAAAATGCTTAAAATTTCAAAAATATTCACTAAAAATTTAAAAAAAACATGAAAAACGAAAAACAAAAAACTCAATTTTCAAAAAACGTAATCCAAAAAATTCAAATTAAACACAAATAATGGTGTGCTCGTGTTAGGGGGTCTACGATATTAACGCCATGTTTAATCTTTTTGCTTTGAACGCTTGCTTGTTTCTTATTTAAACATTTTCAAATCAAATTTAGGTGTTAAGGAAGGTGAAAAACATAATTTGAGTGATTGGACTTTGGATTGAATAATTGAAAAAAGATTTCATGACGGGATACTCACATAGTTATCATGAGCCCACATTTTAAGTTGGGATTTTTATTGATAAGTCCAATTTAGAAGTGTTTTAACCCAAGAAGTCCATGAAGGAATTTTTTAACCCATTTAGTCCCATGTATGTATAGTTTTATTCCATAAAGTCCATTTTCTTGATTTACACTATTTTCTTGGACACTTATGCCCTTATATTTAATTTTGATACCCTTATAAATATTTTTTCAACGATTAGCAATTTAATGATGTGAACATTCATATTTTAAAATTCACATTTGTAGGAATGTAAATTGGCCCGTGGGCGGCCCGAAACCCGCCCGCGAGCCGGGGCGGGCCTGGCCCGTTGACAATGTGAATATTCACATTGACATATTAACATTCACATTAATAGAAGTGTAAAATTGACCCCCGTCCCGTGGCGGCCCGAAACCCGCCCGCGAGCTCCTTGGATGTAGACCACAAGAGGTGAATGATCTGAATAAGTCCTAGGGAGGACTCTAACAGTAGCTTCAGGGAACATGGTTCTCCATTCCGCATTGCACACTGCCCTGTCGAGTCTTTCCATGGTGTTGGTCAATCCTTGTCTATTATTAGTGCAAGTCATACGAGGCCCAGAGCTTCCTAGGTCAATAAGGTTGCAGCTGTTTACTCGATCAAAGAATTTTTGGGTCCTGCCAATATTATGTGATGGTGAGAAGCTTCTTATTTCATTAAGGCTGGCATAGTCGTTAAAATCCCAAGCAACCAGCCAAGGCTTATCCATGGTTTCAGCTTTATCCTCCAAATCTTTCCATAATTGGTTACAAAGTACTGGGTCGGGGCTGGCATAGACAGCAGCTATGACCCAATCTTCATAATTCTCTTTATGAATCGTTGTGTGGATAGCTTGTGGGCTAACCATAGAAGCTAGAACATTGACATGGTTGGTATCCCAGATTACCCAGATGCCACCTACTCTATCCACAGGATTAACTATAGACGAGGCAGTGCCAAGCCTAGTGAAGAAGTTGCTCATTTTACTATAAGCAATTTTAGTTTCCATAAGAACAATGATCTCTGGTTTGTGAGCTTGGATGATCTCCACAAGATTACGCTTAAATGAGTTATTACCGGCTCCGCAACAATTCCAAAATAGTAGTCGTAGCAAATCCATGGAAGGGAATGATGGGGGGTCTTCAGTTGCAAGATCTGTAATGATACTACGGATCCTCCAATGATCGGCTTTTACTGACCTGAGGGATGCCATTTGAATTGAGTGGTATAGCTGAGTTGGGTTGTCCCCCCAACTTAGCTCGATTGTCAATCGTACTTGCTCTATCCACCAGACGAAAGCGACTAGGTGAAGAGCTTTTTTCCCTGGTTCTAACAATAATCCCAAAAACATTTTCTAGTAAACTTGTTTTTACGTTTTTGATTATACCAAATATCAGAAAAAATGCAACGCCCAAATAAGCGAGTGTAAGAGCACCAGCATCATTGCATTTTGTTCTTGGTATATTTCTACTATGGCCATGTTTGTTTGGGCGGACTGGATTAGCATTCCCATGACTAATAGTTCTAGGACTACGAATTCGTTGGATTATGTATCCTATCTTAACTAATAGTCAAGTTTAAAATAATTAGTTCGTACTTTAATTGTTTAACCAAATATCGGATTAATAATTTTATTAGACTATTAGTCTAATCCCAAGCTCATGTCCACCCAAACAAACATGGCTTAAATGTTCCTGAAAACAGGGCAATTTTAGTCAGGTTTGGATTCAGACCAAAAAAAAGTTGGGTTTGGACCCAAACAGTGGTTGTTTGGCTAGAATTTTTTGGCCAAAAAAAGTACAAAACGATAAAATATCACATTCAAATCATAATTATATTTTATTTTTTCTTTAACAAAAATTAAAAAAATCAAACCAAATAAACTTTTATTCCCAAATTAAAATAATCAAAAAGTCAACTAAAAAAATCAATTGTCAAACGGCAGACTGTTGGTGGATAACTTGACCTGTCAATTATAATAGACCGATTGTACCCATTAAATATAAATGATAAATTTTTATCGAATACACTCTAGATAATCTTTGCTCGCGTGAAAATACACCTATATATTAGTTAGATCAACAATGTAACGAATGCAAACATGTATTTGGTATTTCACTCACTCATATCTCTATCTCCCAATAATTCTCGAGGCTTTTGTGCTATGGAATTAGAGTGTTGCTCGATTTATCATAACACTTTCGTGATTCGTGAGTAGAAGAAAAAAAACAAATGCGTAAATCATTTCTTTTTTCTTTCTAAAAGAGAGAGAGCCATAAATGGGTATGTTTTTTCTTGATGTGAAGGCTTTGAGCTGTGGGATTAATATTGTTCGATTCATTATTTAATGCACTGTATGCTAGTAGGACGATATGAATATTTACATTGACGGTGTGAACATTCACATTAAGGGTATTTTGGTAATTATGTCACCCATAGGACTTATTGAAATATAAGAAAATAATGTGAACTAAATGGAACATAAGTAGATGAAAAGGGTATTTTGGTCTTCTTATCTCAAATTGGACCTAATGGAATAGTCAAAAAGAATATGGGTTGGATGGAATAAAGCTCTTAGAAAATGGATTTATCAAAAAAGCTCCCTTTTAAGTTTGATATTACTATTAAATTAACACACACTTGCTCTTTCATTAGTTATTGGCAACAATCTTTGCACAAGGTTAGAGTTTTTTGAGTTTGTTTGATTGAAATTTTGTTATTGGAATTGTGATTGTTATTAATTTGCAATATGATATAATATTTTAGGAAAAAAAAAATTAAACCAAAACAAACGCGATGGTAACATATTTGGAATAATGGGATTAGATGGAATTGGCATTCGAAAATGGAATTTGATTTGGTGGGATTTGGAATTAATAAAATCTTATCTAGTCTTAATACCCAAACTACACTCCACAGCTTTGGTTTTGATCTAATTTTATCTTGTCTTATTCCTTCTTGTAGTGAAGCAAAAGCAGGCATTGAGGAACAAGAAAGTGGGATACAATAAAACTGACATGCAATAATAATCACGTATCATGATGGGATAGAGTGAATAAAAATTGACATAATAATAATAATAATAATAATAATAATAATAATAATAATAATAATAATAATAATAATAATAATCACTATATTTGATTTTAGTTTTTTAAAAATTAAATTTTTATGTTTTTGTATTTATTTGTTTTTAATGAATATTTTTAAATTTTTAAACAATTTTTTTTACTTTTTTAGATGTACTTTACTTAGATGTATGTAAATAGTAAAATATTTGTCAAAAAATATTTTAAAAAATTAATAAATACACAAAAATACAAAAAATGTATTGAATTTTCATTTTTTTTGTATTTTTAGTATTTAATGAATTGTTTAATGATTTTTTTCACAAATATTATACTTTTTAAGTGTATTTATGTTAAGTGTGTCTAAAAATTTAAAAAAATTCTTAAAATATTAAAAAAAATCATTGAAAAAAAAATATGGAGAATAAAAAAAATAGAATTTTCTAAAAAATATTTTCTGAAAATCAAAACCAAACAAGCAAGTAATTAATCACACCAAATCTTGACTAGTGATTCTGGCACTTTTGTTTCTCTCACATGCTCTCATCTTCTTGTTGTAGTATCAAATAACGTTTCATATTACTCCTTAACACTCTGTCTTTCTCTAAGACTCGTTGATCTCCACTTTTCGGATTCATTGATCACTCACTCTCATCTCTCGGCAGTTCGGGTTTATCTTTCATGCTTTTTTTTTTGGTTATGTGTTTCATTTGTTGTATAAAATAATGTCTCATACTTACTTCTTAACTCTATCTATGAGATTCTTTGATCTCTCATTTGCTTATTGAATAAATTATATCAATAATGTCAATAATTTCTTACGAATTCTAGTTTAGTTCTTCTAATTTTGCACGTTTTATATTTTCTTCCAAAATATTAATGACAATTATTGAAAAACTACATTAACACCAAATTGAAAATGTGAGAGAAACGAATAAATTATATAAATAATCTCAATAACTTCTTAAGAATCCTAGTTTAGTTCTTCTAATTTCACACGTTTTATATTTCCTTTCAAATTATTAATGGCAATTATTGAAAAACCATATTAACACCAAATTGAAAGCATGAGAGAAATGAATAAGTTATATCAATAATCTCAGGTGCCGTTTGGTAACACTTACGTTTTCAGTTTATATTTACAAAAATTTTAAAAACTCAAATAAAACTTGTTTGGTAATTTTTTTATTTATAAATCAGTAGCGTCAGTTTATAAATTTGGCCAAAAAATGTAAACCCAAAAAATGTGTTTCCGTTTTGAGTTTTGAGTTTTTTTTTTTTTACCACCCATTATTAGCCACCACCTGCCACCATTTTCCACCATCGTCTTCCACCGCCACCACCATCCACCACCACTTGCTACCACCACTCACCATCCACCTACCACCACCACTTGCCACCACCACTCACCATCCACCTGCCACCACCACCCATCACCCATATAAAGATCATGTTGGGAAAGAAGAAGATGAAGAAATGTAAGGAAAAAGCCCAAAAAAATAAAACCGAAAGCAGCTTGATCATACCCTAACACCGCCAATTTCCTCCACAGACACAGAATCAATATACCCCAAATCACAATGATAGAATTCCACATCACTTTAATGAAATATAAAAGTCATGGAATATTTTGGTTGCACAATGCCTTAGTTTCTACTGATTTTTTTTTTTAAATTATAAAAGCTTGCCTTTAGATAAACTTGGTTGTATTCCATAGTCTGATTTGGTCAAGGTCAGTTCTATTCTATGAAATGTTCAAGATTATCACAATAGCCAGCGTCACATGTAGCTTACTGTTAAATTTGGATCATCATTCCACTACCACTAGTCGCCGCTGTCACCACCTCCCTTACTCTACCACACTTGCCACCACCACCTGCTACCACTCACCACCACTACCACCACCCACTCGTTACCACCCACCACCCGCCACCGTCACCTACCCACCTACCACCACCACCTGCCATCCGCCACCCACCTGCCACTACCACCCACCACCCGTCACCACCACCAGCACCACCACCCACTCGCTACCACTCGCCACTGTCACCCACCCACCCGCCACCACTCGCTACCCACCACCCACCGTCAACACTTTCCACCATCGTCTTCCACCGCCACTTGCCACCACTTGCCATTTCTCACTCTTTTTTATATTTTTAATTTTTTTTAAACATTTTTTTAATTACCAAACGCGTTTGTAGTTTATGTTTTTCTAAAAATAAATAAAAAATAAACAAAAATCAATTTATAAAATTTTTATAAATATAAAACTGAAAACGTAAACGTTACGAAACAGACCCTCAATAACTTCTTGATCTCTCATTTTTCTGATTCTCATCTCTCGGCGGTCCGGATTGATCTCCTCCACCAACCACTTCAGAAGTTGCTCTCTCACTACCATTTCGGTGAGGGGTTTCACGTTTTTTTTCTTTGCTATGTGCCTCGTTTGTAGTAGAAAATAATGTCTCATACTTCTTAACTCTATCTCTCATTTTGTAGATTCTTATCTTTCAGCAGTTTGAATCGATCTCCTTCACTAACCACTTCAGAAGCGGTTCTCTCGCTACCATTTTGGTAAGGGATTTAATGTTTTTTTAATTGTTACGTGCTTCGTTTGCAGTAAAAAATTGTTAGCTTTTGATAAAACTCTCTCTTGATTGAACTATTATTTTGTATTGAATTTAACTTGTATTGATCTTGAATTTTCTTGTTATTTGATTTCTTTGCCAATAGGCTTGGGGAGATGGCTTCAATATCAAATTCTATGAACCCAAGAGAAAATCCTTTCCATTATGTGGTATTGAACCTAAATCATCATGAACACAAACCTCTCCTAATAGGGAAAAACTACGATATGAATGCCGTAGGGGTATGGTCGTTGTTTCAATGTGAACCCAAAATGGTATAACCAGAAAGGCAGTGCAACCTAATAATGCTCTTCAAGATTTCTCCTTCTATAAACACTATTATCATATCCATATTAGAACTCAAATGGTAACGTATTTGAAATAGTGGGATTAGATGGAATTGGCATTTGAAAATGGAATTTGATTTGGTGGGATTTGGAATTAATAAAATCTTATCTAGTCTTATTATCCAAACTACACTACACATCTTTGGTTTTGATCTAATCTTATCCATT